GAATTCAAAATATTCAACTTTGTGCACGTTCTACCTAATGCCCACGCACGTGCACCGCACGTGTCAGTGTCGGCGTTCGACTTTGGGTTAGTGAGTTAAGTGTTCAAGGAATTTAAATTTTACTTATCAATAGCCTTTTATACTACACATAACTTTTATGACAATCTTTTAGCTTTTAAAGGTACGTAATCGTTGGGGTACCGGTGCACCAAGTCGAATAAGCTTCTTATTGCTTCAATTTCAGAAAGACAAGAAGTGGACATTTTCAAGGCATTAGATACGGTGTTAATAATAGCCTTGACTTTTGACTTTTAGAAATGATTCGAGATAATGTTTTGAAGATTTTTTTGAGCTTGGGTTTAGATAAATCCGAAATTTCTCTGAAAGTTTTCGAGAATTTGAAATTCGCCCCGTCATTGACACTACGAAACGCCATTTTGTTTTACATTTGATCGCTCCCCAAGGCGCAAAGCATAATGGGTACGCGAAAGTAAAAACTTTTGGCCGCGTTTCCCAGGTTTTTTACAACCCATAAAGCATTTCGATAGATTTGCTCATTTTGCATATATTCAATGGTTTTCATGTGTAGTGAAGGATAACAAGCTATCGTAGTTAATATATAAAGTGCCCCTCAAAGTCGACCGAGAATAAGAAACTAGTCAATAGAGGCTTTGCACCATCACGTGCYGGCGCCTATAATACAGCTTGGACTATCTGTGGCTAGATGGCATAACAATAAAATCCCTTTGCTCTCGGGAATTTCATTATTTCTCATGTAAAACGATAAATCGTATTGCTCCTGCCATCTAACATGGCTGCCAAAAAGCCTCTATACAAAGATTTCGCATTCATTAGAAAGGCATAATTAGAAAAGAAGAAGAAAAAAAAAGAAAAGAAAAGAAAAAAAAAAAAAAAACCATAACTGCTAGAAAAATATCATGGATTTGAATTTTTTAGTCGGACATTCTGTATTTCATTGGGAAGAAGCCACACATTAATTGGGTAAAGTAACTCAAGTATAACCAGGATCGGTCTATTCAAGCAATGAGGGACGCAAAGATACTGATAAATCATCAGAAGACAATCTATTGATTATGAATAGCAATTTAGTTCCTTGTTTCATTGTGAAATCGTCCAATAAGATAATCGTCATAACGACGATACTCAGTACACGTATGATGGTAAATGTGCCTTCAACTCTGTCTTAAGAAAAGCCTATAACTGCAGTTTTCATGCGAACTCTGTGTCTGCGAGCTGCACGCTGAAGTTTGTTTTTTAACTGTCGTCCTAATCAGTCGGTACCTTTTATATTTTTAACTGGCGGCAGCGAAAAACCATATTTCAGCGCCTAGCTCGCATACACATGCTTATGAAAATTGCAGCAATGCATGTTGCTGTCCACTGTATTGCCCAAGATAGCAACAATTCGAATTCACAGGGAGGACTTTTAAATGTATAAATGTATACCTATATGTAATCTTAATGACAATATATTCACTATTTATAGAATATTTGAGATTTAACGCGCGCGCTGATTGGTGGTTACCGTGTTTATATCATAGGAGAGAGAAACGCTCGCGCAAAATCATTAAAACATTTATAAAATATTTATAAAACGGCTGCTTATATCTCTGTACTGTAATACAAACAATCTGGGAGCTCTAGAGCACTCGAGAAGCTAGAGAAAAACTTGGCTACGCCTCGTGTTCCTAAGGTTGCTTCTCTATTGCTCTACAGCACAGAGACACGCGCGCGCGTTTTATATTCCTTAAATATACAGACCTAATAATAACAGAAAGGTCGTCTGAACTGGTTTCATTACAGTTGAGCTTGTCATAAGAGAGACTGATATATCAATACAGTGCATGCGTAACGGACCCATACCGCTGACAACTGTAATATCTCTGTTTTCTTGACCGTTGCAGTAGCCTGCGTCACATCCGGAATTTTCTTCGTAAAATTCCGGATGTGACGCAGGCTACCGTTGCAGTAGCGGATACAGTTGTGGTTCAGGGCATTTTGGAACTGCCCCTTTTTCAATTCCTGGATCCGTCACTAAGTTGCATGGCCTTTATGGGGTTAGAAGATTAAAATCTTTAATTCAGTCAAAAAATTCCCTGTGTTTAAACCGAAGTTCTTCAAAATGATTGACGGTTAACATCCACTGGATGTGATATTAGCTTCAAAGGTCCTCTCACTGGTGTGATCTTAGCTTCTCATACTCATTAATAATTCATTAGGAAACCAGCCAATCAATGGGCTATTTTTGGGTCACATGATGTTACTTGAAACCTGGGGGTAAAGTCCTGTGAAAGGACTGAATTAATTTTGTTCAAGTCCTTGTACTGGACCAAAATTAATTCAGTTTATTGACATATCTGTCCCTTATGTCTTTCAATCCTAAACAAATAACTTCCCRAATTATTACTGAGAATGAGAAGTCATTTCAAAGCTTCCAAATCGGACTGGACGGGATTTCAAGTCCTTGCAATAAGTTCCAGTCCTCGCCTGCGCCTCGGACTGGACTTACTAATTGCGCAAACTTGAAATCTCGTCCAATCCGATTTGGAGGCTTTGAAATATTACTTCAAAGGTCCTTTCACTGCATGTGATCTTAGCTTCAAAGGTCCTTTCACTGCATGTGATCTTAGCTTCAAAGGTCCTTTCACTGCATGTGATTTTAGCTTCAAAGGTCCTTTCACTGAATGTGATCTTAGCTTCAAAGGTCATTTCACTGGATGTGATCTTAGCTTCAAAGGTCCTTTCACTGGATGTGATCTTAGCTTCAAAGATCCTTTCACTGGATGTGATCTTAGCTTCAAAGATCCTTTCACTGGATGTGATCTTAGTAGCTTCAAAAGTCATTTCACTGGATTTGATCTTAGCTTCAAAGGTTCTTTCACTGGATGTGATCTTAGCTTCAAAGGTCCTTTTACTGGATATGATCTTATCTTCAAAGGTCCTTTCACTGGATGTGTTCTTAGCTTTTACTGGATATGATCTTATCTTCAAAGGTCCTTTCACTGGATGTGATCTTAGCTTCAAAGGTCCTTTTACTGGATGTGATCTTAGCTTCAAAGTTCCTTTCACTGGATGAGACAATGAGGGAGCGACTTTCTCGCATCTATTGAAAGGACCTTTTCTATACTCCAAACGTTTCTACATCCAGCCCGATCAATTCAATATCAAAATGGCATTAAATTTGGCTTGGCACTTTTTGATTTGTTTGGTTTGTGTTATTACATTGGCTGGATTTTCAAAGATTAACTGATGGCCATTTAGTCTCCTTGTCTTCTTAACCGGGAGTCACCAAATGCAAATTCGAGGTCGAGTATACCATGCCCAGGTTTAACTACGTGGCAAAATCGATGGAGAAAATGTCTTCTTTCTACTTAGAATATATCTTAAACTAGTTTAATTTTTTTTATTTAAAAAGTATCTGAATACAATGGGGTTATAAACAACCGACATACATTTTAAAAGGGAAAAAACTCGATTCCACTTTCCCAAACCCCCGGGACATCCGCAGAGCTAGGGCGTCGTATGGACTTCGGACCTGACGGCGATTAAATCCTTCTGCCCTTGGGTGTACGAATCTACAGGGGAGAGACCAGCCGGCCCCCAGACCATATCGGCTAATCCCTTGCTTCTCTGCCACGCACGGAATCGGTTGAAAACAGTCTTGTATATCCGGTGAATTGCTTTCTGGCTATTTTTAGGCCCATTAACCTGGAAACGTGGTCCAGTGAAAAAAAAAAACTGTGCGCTTCAATGACACTGATTTAATTCTAGTTGAGCGAAGTTAGTATCTGGGATGGGCGACCTGAAAGTTATGCCTACTAAACAATGYTTTTCCTTTGGTACGTTAAAATAAACAAAAATCCGCTATCGTTTACGAAGAGAATTTGTCGAGAATCGAATTACTCAAAGGCATTTATTCCGCAATTTTCCAAGGTATCCTTTGCTTGAAATCGGAGAAGCTGTAGCTGAACTAGATATCTAGTTTATACTGATCATGAGCTAGGAGTATCCCTTAAAACTGAACTAGGAGTATCCCTTATACCTGAACTAGGAGTATCCCTTATACCTGAACTAGGAGTATCCCTTATACCTGAACTAGGAGTATCCCTTATACCTGAACTGCGAGTATCCCTTATACCTGAACTAGGAATATCTCTTACCTGAACTAGGAGTATCCCTTA